CCCCCGCTACAAACACCCGGCTGGCACATGAGGCAAGCCTTTCGTGTATAAACTGATGTAAAGAGATGGAGCTCTGTCGTACATGTGTTCGCCTCGGACAAATTGGGGGAAAGCTGCAGAACACACTCGTCTCGATGTCTGTGCGGCCTGTCAGCCCCTACTTTACCAGCCGGTGGTGCACACTGGCATATTGAACATGAAATATACTTGCTTGATACCCAGCCCTCTATACTTATGAATCACAACCAAAGTATATTATGTAATACGGAAATTCAGGCACTAGGGGCTCCCTGGTTTGTGCAGGGGTTGAAAAGTCCGAGCGAGGGCTCGATACGCAGATTTCGTGCTGCTTCTTACTTCCAGATGCCGCGGGGCAAATTGACATCCATGCAGCAAAACTGCTCTCAGTAGCAGTGGCTTTACGAGTCTACTTTGGGCGTAAGCTTAGCCATCAACTGGTCTGTATGTTAACTAGATTGCTGCACAGCTCGGCGTTCATGCATTGTTTAAGGAGACTTGTATGCTGTTGTCGCTCGCACGTGGGTAGTCGTCAATTAATCAGAAAACTGTCTAGCTTTTCTGTGCGACATACAACATAACTCACTTGAAAAAGTAGCGTGCACATGGAATGCAAATGCAGCTTAGAAAGTTGTCCTTGCTCCCCTAGATTTGAACCGGAGGGTCGCCGTCTTACGAAAACACAAGGTCTTCTGTTCAGCGTTAGGTGAGGGGTTCCATATATATGTATGAGAAACTTTAAGCATTTGCAGACGTACAAGAGCAGTATACTTGTAGTGGGTCTGCTGTCTGTCATCCAGCATAACAGCGTCTGGACGAGGCCCGGGGGCACAAGGACACGGTCCGCCAGCTGAGGAGCAAAAGGTGGTGTTCGTCGGCCACCATAGTATCCACGACAAGGCCATGCAACATCGAAATGAGCTACGTTTAAGTTTCTACCACAAGTGGTGCCATCCAACTGAGCAACATGTCGTGTACGAGGGGACGAGCAGCGCTCTACTTTTAATATCCAGGGGAGATTTCACAGGATCCGGTGTGCTAGACGTCTCGAACACTTCTTGCGGCACTCTAACCCAGTATTACAGACAGGTATTTTCAGGCTGAAAATTTGACTACCGAAGTTGTGCAAGCCGAATGGGCGACCCACCGGGGCGCTTAGTGCACGGCCCAATTGGGGTTAAGCGTTCTAGCGGATTGACAATTTTCGACAGCAGGAGAGGACAAATAATATGTGAATGGAGTGTATATTGAGTTTCAAGCAAGAATAATGCTAGTTCCAGTCAGAGAAAGTGCGCCCGTGTTACGCAGGGCAGCACCCAACGAATAATGGCCAATGGTCACCGTGGCAGCAAGCCCGACTCGAGAGGGCGGAGTGTTCAAGCTGTGGGTACACAGATGATCGGTCGTGTTCGGGCAAATCTTCAATATTTCGGACCACTGCAAATAGAAAAAAGGTCGGATATTCTGGAAAACGTGCTCTAGGAGGCTGGGCACGGAGGAAATTGTTTACAGCGGGACCTACGCCAGTGAGTGGCGGTGCAATGTGGCTGTCTCATTCCCAACAGCATAACAGCAGGTCACACGTAAATAAGCGACTTGTTCGGAGCAATAGGAGCATCTGTACTGATATATGCTTCTCTGCTTTGCATTTGGCTCTCGCTGTTGGAGTTTTTCCTTTCCTGATTCGGGGCCTCGACCGGGGCCTGGTCGCCGCCGACCGCACTACAGACATTTTCGGGGCAGTTTTCTCTTTTGCTCGCAAAGCTATTAAACACAAGATTTTCACAATAAATTCAGTCTCTCACTACTCTACAAGGCGTTTGTTTCGTTCACATAAATTTTTCTGGCCTGTAAAACGGGGAGCTGTGTGTGTTAGAAGAAGGCGCATTTTAGCTGGATTCTCCCTTATTTAAGGGCGTTGATTTTTTGACTTAAAAAATCATCTTCATAGGCTAGTCTGACCTCCTCGACTCCTCCGGTGATAGTAGAGGTGCTCCCAGCGGCAGTGGACGGCAGCGACTATGAAGCTCACGGGTCTCGAGTCATTTGTAGCGGGGTGGCTAATGTTCCTAGCCTTCGCCTCAGCAGAAGAAGGACTGTCAAATCGCTTGGATAGTAGAAGCTCAATTCGAGGAAATGCTGATGGTGCGCGTTTGCTGCCTCAGCGTTGCGATTTTCCCTAACCTGACATCCAGAAGCCACCGGCGAATTTTGGTAGTTTTCTGCGGCATGGTATCTGTTTTAGGTTTCTTAGACGAGATAAAACTGTATTTACTGGACACCCCCCTACGACTCCCAAAAGGTCTGGATCCCATGGAACCGTCCTCGGGTAAGCGAGCCAGTGCACCTTCCTAACATCACTTTCCCCATAACAGTGTGCAGTATTGTCACTACCGCAAGGCTCTCGTAACTCCACACTTTTAGACGTCTAACATTTAGTCAACAGCTGGCACTTCCCTAAATCTCGTGCTTCTTCGCTTGCTCAGCTGCTACTGCGGAGTCGAACTTGGCAGTATTAGAGAATTTTCTAGAGGACAAAGAGATGCTGGAAGCTCTTGACAGTGAGTTTTCACCAATCCTTTCTGAGGGCCGTCTTGTTTCGTATGTCGCCTTCGAACTCGTCATTTTATGCATGTCGGACCTTCAATAGGAGCCCTCGATATTTTTCTTGTATCTCCGTACAGGTGCTAAGCTGCAAGTGTGCGCTAAGTTGCAGGACACTACCTGTCGTGGACATTTGAAGAGCATATCTTGTGAAACGGTAAACATTACCGAACTGCGGCATTCTGTTATACAAACAGAAGCTCACATTAACTCTACAGACGGAGATACAGCTGCTTGTGACGACGCACTCCGCCATGGGCTTATACTTTTTGACATTCTCGTCATAGTGCAGCCGATCAAAGAGTTTCAAAGACATCCTTCCGCGGGCCCACGCCATGCCCTAAATAGCCTCTTTTCTGCTCTCAATGTAGCTACTGTAGGAGATGCGCACGAATCAGGTCAAACCCGATCCACTGAAGCCGCCAGACCGTCAAGTAGCAGCACTATCTTTGCTGAAGAATTTATCGAAATGTGAGAATATGTTGCTTCTCGTAAGCTATAAAAACACAGCTGCATCTCTGCTCCTGTAGACTAGTCGGTACTGAGTTTTTGGAGCTGTTAAGCTCCCCCTGCTGTGCGCAGGCAAAAACACAAGAACAGGGCGAAAACAAGCCAAGAAACCTCAGAACGGACGACCGCCTTTCCAGGTGTTCTAGAGAGCATCCTTAGCACCTTTCCAGGCCCCTATCTAGCGTTTGCAGGAGCCGGCGGCCCAATCGGTAAGCTCATTCCTACGTGAAGGGCACTGCAAGTGTCCTGGGTTCTTTGGCAATATAGTAGCGTTGCACAGGGGAAAGTGGGCTACTTAAGGTAACTCCTTCATATGATCAAAAGTTCCTGGTGTGCCTTTGCACGCACAAGGAACCCCGAAAGCTGTGACTTTACGAGCTATGCTCCGGGAGGTTACAACTATGGCAACTGAATCCCCTGGGTTCACCATCACCGGCTTATCTTGCCTTGTGCAGCTTCCCTTATCGTCAATTGGTTGGCCCAAACCTATCTACTCTTTGATGAATTCTTCGGGGTTAAGGAAAGCAGCAGGCGCCCATTGGTGCCTCTTCAGAAACTGCTGATCAGTGGTCACGAGTACAGGCTAACCCATTTATACAGGATGTGCGGGACTGTGCTAGGGTCACAAAGAAAGACTTCTAAACTGATTCCAAGCACTTTAGCCCTTCCCAGAGAGCATTTTACAAGAAAGTCTCAGCTTGTAGGCTTCCCGCGAATCTCATGTGACCTGATGATCCAGGCCGCCTTTGCTTTGCAACTTGGTAAGCCGGCCGTAGCTGCGCAAGATATTCCAGATATTCCTGCTGTTGAGAAAGCTAATGGATCTGCATTGTCTTGTATAGAATACTGTTATTGTCAGAAACATTTACACGCCGTCATCGTATGCGTGTATTGATTTGCCTCACAGCGGAGATGCATGCTATTGAGCATATGAACAATTTGCAGCAGATGCTCCCTACAGAAGGACTGGAGTACTCTATGCCTTTGGAGCGGTATGCTGGAGGACGAATAAATTTTCGACGGCTTTGCATGAGCTTCAGGGCTGACCGTGGAGCTGAATTGCTACTAGATACGCCTTGCTTGTACGAAGACACTGTACTTGCGCGTTTAGAGGCAACCGCTGAGAAAAGCAGCGTTCCTGCGGCAGAGGAAACAGCTTTGCTGGAGTCTACTCCACATGCTCAAGAACAAGGAGAAACACCATCGAAGACAGCCAGCAAAAACGCTGAGTTGGATTTCTTATTGCTGGCAATTAGAGGCGGGAATCACAGGGCGGCTGCACACCTCCTGGGCAATGACTCTGGGCCGTGTAAGCACATCAACTGTCCCTGCACCCCAACAATAAATATGTGCAGGGCAACGGCCACGAACTTTACACAATCCTGTTCTTTTTTTGTAGGGTGGGACCTGCTCTATATGATTGATTCTAGACCATCCGCAGAGATTATGAAAAGCTATGGAAAAGGCAAGCCACGCTGTCAATGAGGTCTGCTTGTAAAGGGGTATATTAGCATGTGACAAAAGCACCTTCGAGACTCAGAAAAACAGTTTTATTTATGTTCGACCTGTGTGCTTCAGAATCTGCGCTGTGCAAGAAGGTCGTGAAGAAGCTAGGCTCGAGAGCTGCCAGTGCGAACGAAGAGAGCATTTCGTGTTCCTCAGCTTGGCAAAGGGATGTTTGGGAGAAAAAGCTTCATTGCCAGTCAAAGCTTGTTAGCTTGCATTGCGCTGCATTGGAAAGCTTGTTCGGAGTTTTTGACCGAGGTACGCTGCACGCTTGTAATTTCTGCTAGCAACCAGTCCACACAACTGCCGGGCTTGTTGCTTGACAGTGCCGCCCTATCACATGAAACCGCATGCGGTGGCCATGCGATGGGCTGTTGAGCCTCAGGACTCATTGCCCGGATTGATAACTTACTGAACTCCACTGCTAAGGAAGCCGCTTGTGGAAGAGCTTCTGGGAAGTGCCCTAAAAAAGCAATATCCAAGCAGAGTCCGCTGCAGACAATTGGAAAACAACCAGCTGTGCTCTCCCGATTCCATATGAGAGGCACCGTTGGGCACAGCATATTCCGGGTATTCTTTTTCCTCAGTGGAAACAGGTGGAAGAATAGCAAAGAACTGACCGCGTGTACCGGTGAGCCCTGTGGGAAGTCCATTTCGTGGACTACCGTGTTCAGGTTCATATGCTCCACTAAGCAGAATCCCATACTACGTGTTTGCGCCTTCCCATCTTTGCAGATAGTGTCGATAACATACTCCGAAACTTTGCAGCACTAGTTTCGGAGCGTGCGACATCCGTTCTCTTATCCCGGTGGCTACCGCATACCGTACGAAGGCTCATGAAGAAATTTCTGCGCCGAAAGTATTCGAAAAGACACCTCCGCTGTAAGTAGTTCACGCATATTCATATCTCTGATTATAATCAGTAGCCATTGATGCTGCAAGCATCATTGCTTGCCATTCACGGATACACTCACATGCGACATCAAGTAATTCCAAGGACAGTGGGCAAAAGCGCACGTAGGCAAGTTACTATTGCATGCGCCTGTTCAGTCCTTCTGTCGAAGCTCCCACCTGATTTCTACGTGAAGCTTTCCTCATGCATCGAAGTCCTCGTCCACCCGCTCGTCTTCGTCCACCTAAATCAGCTGGCGTTTACTGGGTCGGAACTGTCAGGTGCTCGAAGTCCTGCTGGCGGTCTTTCAGAAAAGCTTGACAACCTCATAGCTGACGCAGCTACGGAGGGACTTCCACAACATTTAAAGGTCCGCGTTTCTCTCATTTGCCCCATACCCAAGCAAAATCCAGCACCACGGCATTCTACCAAGATGTAGCTTGGGCCACTTCAGCTTTTTCTAAAGCATTGTGTGGCTTGCGACTACAGAAGAAGCTTCAATCGGGCGAAGAGACAACTGTAAAGGATTTCAATGGAATCAACTTTGCTCATGTTCATCCGCCAAAACTAAGGACGTGGCAGGAATACCTCAAGCTGGAGCTTGAAAACAGCTTGGCTACCTGGTTGATGAAGCCGAGTAGCAGAGAGAGGATAGAAAACGAATGCAGGGGAGGCAGAGGTTCAAACATAGTTGCCCTTTTCAGGGACTGCATGGACCTTCTAAAGAGCTCCGATGCTGAAAACCTCACGCTGATTGGGAAACTTGTCAGTCCAAGAGAGACTTCTGCTGGCAGGCCATTGTTGTTGAAATCTCTTATCTACAGGCTCCTGAGGCTTCCAGCGTACAAGGTCCGGCACCATTCGTTTGTTGCAATGAACATTCGTATTACTGAGGCTCTGGAATTGGTGCGCGCCCTGGTCGAAGTCTACACACAGAATATGGGAGTGTTTGAGAACCAGGAGGTCTTTATGACAGCCGTAATTGACCTCTTTGCGCACCTGGAAGAGAAGAGCAGAACTGCATCTGGGGGACCACTTGGGGTGAGTTTCGTTTGAGGTCTTGCAAGCAACGAAAATGCTACAGCGCTGGGGAGGCCATGCGCAGTATGTGTCTCTTGAATTAATGTAATCGGCTATCAGCTAAGCAATCACGTGTATTTCTGTGGTTCTACAGGTTCCACATAGCGTTCTCGTGCCACCACTGCACCGCCAGTACGCATCACTGCCAAAAGCAAATCGACTCAAGGAACTCAGGGATAGTGCAATGAACAAATTCTTCCGCCATATCTGGACACTCATATTCTCAGTTTCCGCGAACAACATTTTGAACGCGGGGAACTTGGACAGCCTTGAGAAGACTTTCTCTGATGAGGCGTGGAAGGAGTCAATCAACGACCCTTTTCAGGCAAGGGACATGAAACTATTGCTCAACGGCCACTCGGAACGAGTTTCGAGTGGGTTCCCTCAAACTCGGAAAGCCGTCTGGAAGAGCCGGTCTTACGTTCGTTACATATGCAGGCAAGCTCGTTTGGCATGGTCTTGATGGGTGGCGATCTAGGACTACGACTGTTCGACCAAATGCTTCCTAAGAAGCAAAAGATGATGCTGAAAAAGGCACAATATGGTTCTCCTACCGTTTTCACCAGTCAGATGCAACTAACAGGCAGCTTGCTATCTGCTAGCGGTCACGTAGGTCTTGGAATGTTTCTGCATACCCAGTCCGTGTACTTCGGGTTAATGGTTAAACAGTGGATTCAAAAGCGCACACAGGATAGAATCCGTGAAATCATCTCTTTGTTGACTTTGGGCCTGTTCTTCGCTTCTTCATTTATTCAGTAAGGTCCACCACTTAAAGGGTGCAGGATCTACTGTTATGCGTTGTTCTAAGAAAAAGGTCTTATTTGGGCTTCAATTACAAATCTCCCCGTTCGAAACATTTAGGTGTATTACTTGTCTACAACTTGTGCTTTTGCAGAGTTACAGAAGGGGTCACAGAAATCGCCAACACTGGAAATGAAACGGGCCAAGCTAGCATGACAACAGGGTGCCCCCCGATAGGGTTGTGTATGGACGACAGCGGCAATGTGTTCGTTGGTAACCCTAGAGGGTCTCCTGCACTGACTGCTTTACAAGCCATTATGAAGACTGGGATTATGGCGAGCATCGCTGTACTTGCTAGTCCTCTGATTGCCGTATACAACATAGCCGTCTCACAATTTCGTATTCTTAGTCGCTTGGAGATGGTGAGTAGTCAGTGTAAAGGGTAGGCCTACTACATGCTCTCGAGTACTGCGTTATCTAGTAGTTGTTCGTGAGCTGCCGTGAATCAATTTCCGCTGGGGTGCAGTAGTGTAAGGGATTTCTCCATTGTGTGTCTTGCCATTGTTTCAGGCCCTTGGAAATACTTGCAAGCAGTTGGTAAACCGACTGGCGAAGAGCCGGGCCGCTACAAACATCAAGAAGTTGTTCGCAACAAAACAGGATCGGAAACAAATGAGAGAAGCGGCAGCAGCCAGGAAAAGTGCAAGTCTTGGCGATGAAATTGAGCAGTCGTTAACTGCCTTCTTCCAAGGGCATGAGCAGCAGAGGTGTCAGAGAGATAATTCTGAGTAATCACGGCATCACCAGCTGGTGGAATCTATTTTAGTGTCTTCAGGACCCATTTTACTTTGGTTTGCTCATGCTAACACATAGCTCGTAACGGATCCACTAACTTTTACAAACAGCACTTGCTGGCATAATTTTTAAGGCTGGAATGGCACAGACTTTGCACGCCTACTGGATCAGACTAAATATTTTTAAATATGCACAACGAATTTCCGGAAGAGGGGCGGGATTGACTCAAAATGCACACGTGTGCCCTCCTACGGCTCCTACAAGGCCTGCACAGGCCTTGTGGACTTGAAGGTGCCAAGATATTGGTGCTACGTCACATGTTAGCATCCAAAGCACTACACACAAGAAGATTGAAAGTAAAGTGTTTAAGCGCTTCAAACGGCACCCAGAAACGCGCACGCCCAGTCTCTTGAAGGACCGAGAAGGGGGCACCGGAATTCGCAGGAGTTCTAAAACTGATAGGATTCTAAATTTAGTGACAAGCTATGGTCTCCTCTAGCGTTTGTTCGGTAATGAGAACACACTGCACGAATGTAAACGAAAGGCTGCTAGTTTCGAAGGAAACGAAGCAATAGGCGCCGCCTCTGGAAACCATCAGCTGAAGGCACAGGGCCTCATGAAATGTTGGGATTATCAACGGGCGGCAGTAATACCATAGCGTCATGACAGGGCAAGCCATTATGCTCTTCAGTCACTGAATTCATCAAGGCGCTGTCTTCATCGTCTTCCCAGTGCACAAAACCCCGAATGAGGTGCTTTTGTGTAGCCGGCGTCAATCCTCGTTGCGCTTCTTCACACGGGGAAAATAGCTACTTGTGGTAAATAATGGGGGCAAGTGTCCCATTATGATTAATTGACGCTCCCTTTAAATACTCCACAGAGCAGGCTTCTCTTAAATGCCAAGTTTGCTTTGCCTAGATGCAGCAGTCTGTAGGTCTCGTTCTATATTTAGTGGGTCTGCCACTATCCAACTCATGCGCTTTAATATTTATTCATCTGTTACACACATGCCGCAGGAGAAGGACTCTTCAAGATGACAACCACCTCATTTTCATTTCTTACGTAACTGTTGGTAGCTAGTGAACCAACTGCCATTTCCAAAGTGTTTCATAGCCTATGGCAATGCGTGTGATACGTTAAGCTGCGAGCGTGGCATGAGGCATACCATCCCATTCTGCTTCTTGCGCGGTTTCACCTGTATACGGAGGAAGAACAGCATATACACATACCCATGCAATATGAACAGGCAACCATAAGGCTTAGCTGGGAACGAGCTTAAGCGAAATTGTGCCAAAAAAAACTTTCACCAAACACGACCCTCTACACTGATTTGCGTTTCGCACCACAAAACTCGAAGCCAATCTGCGAGACAATCTACACGTGAACACACGAGCCTAACGGCCCTCACCTTCCGCGTGAATGTCACCTGTCGCATCATCGGGGGTACTTGCATAGTCCTCGAAGTCGACTGAGATGGCTGACTCGGCCCTAGCTGGTCGGTCTGTTCCCCCCACTGTCTCATCTATTGGGTTTTCCGGTGGGGAAGTCGAAGGAGGTGGCCTATCAGAGACACGAAAACAAGAATAACCTACGGGACAAGTCCCTCCTGCCACCAACGAATTCTCAATGCCCACTTACAACACGACGTTTCATGCTCACTTACCCATGACTATTCTTATAGTACATCCCTCCAGCGCCTCCAAGCAGTAGAACTGCTATAATGATCCCTATAGCAGCGTAAAGAACTGCATTACCGCCCTCTGAAACATGCATACGCAAAGCGAATCGATTCGACTTAAGATAGTTTCAGTGAAGATGCTGTTCCGGACACTGTTTGTACCTCTCTAGAAACAATCAAAGCGAGGGAACACTACCACGAACTTTCCTTCCTAAAACAGGAGGCTTACCCTCGACGCGTGCAAGGCAACATGCCTCCTCCTCTGTTGCGCCAAGTGCGTCTTTAACACACTGTTCTTTGTTATCATCCGACTGTTCTCCGCATGTTCCCACCAAGTATTTGCAACACGTTGAGTAGCAATCAATGGTGCACTCTCCTTCACTGTCCCTTATGATTTTCCCCCCCACTTTGCAGAGCTCACTGCACTCCGGAGACATTTCTGTGCAGTCCTCGCCTGTATAACCTGGCTTGCATACGCAGGTGGAGGTTGCAGCATCACATGTGGTGTTCCCCGAGCATATCTTTCCACCTTCTCCGCAAGGCTTTTGTACAGTGCACTCGATCCCTCCCCAACCAGGTGGGCATTCGCACTGTCCAGTTTTCGGGTCACATTTTCCATCGTTGCTGCAATGCACGTCTGAGCACAAGTCCTTGCAATTGGGAGCTGGAAACTCCGGAGCACATTCGCATACGTTAGAACTGTTGCAAACACCATTGGGCGAATTGCAATCGTTGTCAGATTCGCAGCAGTTGCTTTCAAAGGTCTCGCAGTTGAGCCCGCTGTAACACTTGGGGCACTTGCAGTGCCCCGTCAAGTCGTTGCAGACGCCACCGTTCAAACAAGTGACTCCAGCGCACCCGCTATTATCGCATTTGTCTCCCGTAACCGAAGGGGCGCACTGGCAGCTGTTGTATACACACGTGCCTTGAGGGGCATTGCAATCATTGTCTGCTTCACAGCACCGGGGGTTTTCGGTCTGGCAGCGATCTCCCGAAAAGCAGGCGGGGCATTTGCACTTTCCTGATGGCATCTCGCACTCCCCGCCGTTTTCGCAAACGACTGTGTCACAAACGCTGGTTTCGCATCGCGAGCCCATATATCCGTCAGCGCAGCTGCAGGCCCCGCTGGGCATCTGACAGGTGCCACCATTCATACAGGTCACATTGTCACAAGCTCCAGTTTCACACATTGCACCACTGAATCCTGCGTTGCATTTGCACTTGTTGCTTTCGCACGATCCGTGACCGTTGCAGTCCGCGTCCGAACTGCAACATCCTGACACTGGAGTCTCACAGTTGGCCCCTGTGAAGCAAGCAGGACACTTGCACGTCCCACTGGGAAGTTCACATGTGCCACCATTTTGGCAAGGGTTAGAGGAGCACGGCCCTGGAAGGATGGCTTCAGAAGGGGGTTCCTTTGCAAGACTGGGATCAGCGGCACTCAGCGCAGTGAAAGAAATCGCCCCGTCTACTGTAAATATGCAATTCGGTACTGTGGAATACAGGTTGCAGGTGCCCGTCTGACTGTTGCTAGAGCCGTCAGGCAACCATGTAGACCAAAATATCGATGAGCTACCAGTACCTCCCACCCCGGACGGGCTGTCATCGCTGCTTGCCTCGAAAACTGCCTCTCCGCACTGTCCTGCTGCTCCTGTGGAAGAAGAGGTCGCTTTCAGCTGAGTGCACACTCCGTTTGAAATGGTCCCAAACATGACGTTCTTCAAAGGTTCTCTCGGAGCTGCGACGCGAATACAGTAAAAACAGACATATATATAGTGGAAACGCTGAGGTGCAACTGACTCTTCTGCATAGCCAAGCCACAACTCCACGTGTTCCCCAAGCAAACCCTAATACGAGTGGAGCACTGGGCTAAAGGCTTACGGCAAGCTGTTTCGTAATCGGGTCTGGTGAACGCCGTGACGTATGTGTAGTTCGACGAAGCAACAGTCTTGTGGGCTTTCACACAGTACTTCGCATTTGAATCCGTTGCTGTCTTGACTGCACAATTGCTTCCCATATACGTTTGCGTGTGGTATCCAAGGATAAGACACTCTGAAGTGGAGTGGTTGAAAGAGGCAGGTAAGCTGCGGTAGCAGGGCCTGTTCGTGTCCCAGGGCCAGCACATGCTGGTGCAACGTGACAATTGGGAACACAGGAACGGGTCGCTAGCGAGGCTGGGAGTTTTCATAGAGTGCGTCTTCAGAGGAGGGGAGTAGGGGGGACAGCCGACACCGCTCCCAACGAAGTCATATCCTTGGTGCCCTCCTTTCCCGTGGAAGGCATAAGCTTTGTTGGCTAGAGATGCTCCTGGCAATGAGGTATCAAGGAAGACCAGGGGATTGTCTAAAGTGACAAAGTTGCAGACTTCGGGGTCATACTCGGCGTCTTGCAGCATATCATTCTGATAGACAGCCTGGTTAAATGGGCATTTGACCAAATACCCAGAATACATACTCCATCCTGACTTGTCCATGGGTACTTCAGATGCTCCGGGTGAGGCGGAAGAGGAGCAGCCCTGCGTCGAGAACGGCATCGTGTTTCCATGAATTTCGTTGGTGAACCTATCTATATCATCTGCTGGACTTCCCGCCCTATCGACAAATGCAATGTACTTCCCATAATTAGGACATGCCCCCACAGCCATAAGCCGCTGGCCTAAATAACGCTGAGTGTCTATCTCTGCATCGTTTCGTGTGCAGTAGCCCTTACTGGACCGATCCCACATTGCTGCATAACCCACTTTGACTCCCGCTGTCTGGTTACCTGCACAAAAAACAGTCATATAAACTCCGCAGCCACTACTCCCATAATACAAAACAACTGCAAGAATTATACGTTGAAAGGGTACACAAAAATCGATTCACTGTGTGGACCTCGACTAAGTTCAATGAACATAATATCCATCAACCATTACCCAAGTATTTCCTTCGCCAGGCGCAAATGTGATGGCCTTCCCCATTCCAGCTAAAAATGAAACTGATTCTGAATTTTGCATATAGAGAGGAACCAGTTCATTCTGCATCGTCTTACGCGGGAGCCACTTGTACGTCTTCCCTTTGTATTCGTAGGCTTGCAGGCCCGAGCCGGACTTGGCCCATTCCAGTTGGATGTGGTTTGCCGGAATGTTAAAGCGGTCCATATAGTTGCCAGCAGCAACTGCATTGCCTATTGATAAGATGGAAATGAGTGTGGAAATGAGGAAAAGTTGAGCCACAAGGGCCCAGAGACCAAGGAATTGGCGCATTTTACCGGGAAATTGATGCATTCTGCGGGAGTAAATCTTGAGCTAGAACCAACTCCACATGGATATATATGTAAAAGACCAGGCCCCCTGCACTGCCGGCTCTGACTTGCCCTATGCACTCAATGCTCTGACTTTTGACTGCGGAAACAGCTCAAGTCGATGTTGTTCGGCTGGTCATCACCATTCGGCAAGTGCAACTCAGGTAGAGCTGGAGGGTTAGAAACCAGCTAACATAGCATCCAGAGCTAATAAGAGTTTTAGAGAAATCTAAAGCTCTTTCGTGAAACCAGACACTGTGGGAGTAGCGAGCAGGAACCTGTGTGCGAGCGCCAAGGCCATACGGGCCGAGCTCAAGGAAAGGAGTTAAAAAAGGCTCCCAGAGAGAGCGAGTGACGCGAAGGAGGAGGATACGGAAAAAATATATGGTGGGTTCCCTCAACAAGTGAATTTTTTTACTGGGGAGGATGCGCAGGTCTAGTTAGGAGGACCGATGAAGACCGAGCTGGTCGCCTCAGTGACGGTTGCGCACAGGGACTGTAGTGCACAGGCACTACCAAGCGGCTCTGGTGTCATCTCTAGTAGCTCATTGACCATAAAGAGAAGGATTATGACATTAGCAGCTAAGGAAGGGATTAGTGCTGCTAAATGTTCTAAGAATCGAGTACCGCAGGTGAAGCCATAAATTAGAAGGATTACCCCCGCTGGCGGCCCCTATCGGCAGTGTAGCCTAGTCACTACTTGGGTACCAGGTAGGCTCCTTTAGAGATCTAATTGGGTAGAACATAGAATTATGACTATATAGGAGTATTAGATCTATAAATACGACTTTCGTGGATAGCAATTATAGGTCAGGCTCCTGACTGTGTCGCCACGGTTGATATCCCCCCCTGATCCTATAGGTTGGGCGCTGACACCCAGCCATAACAGGGGCAATTCAGAACGGACTTCCATTACTCTCTGAACTTCCCTTTTTATAGTAGAGACTCAAACATGATTAGTAACTTTAAGGATTGACTTATGGGAATTTGAGTAGTTAGAAGATGTAGTTAGGAAGCCTGACGCTATTAGATGAAACGTACGCACAGCTTAGGACGGCTGCGCACTGCATATAGGGGCTGTTCCGTTCCAACCCAGTGACCCCTATAGTGGAATGGTTAATGCGAATCAGCAGCGGGACAACCGAAGGGCCACGGTACAAGTTAATCACGAGGATAGTATATGCCGACCAGGATGGTAGCCGAGGCGGCCTGAGACAAACAGTGAGCTAGCGGAATGTAGAGTGGAGAAGGCAACGGCGGGGATTCTGTCTGTAGAGAGTAAGAGGGTGGAGAGACCCGACGTAAGTTATGCATAGGAGTATTCAGGGGTTCTGTGCGGAGTGGCACCAGAACTTCATGCCCCGAGATGGGGAACGACGCTGAAGCGTGAGTGCAGATCCGCAAAGCAGGAGGCTGCTGACTATGTGGAGGCCCCACAGAGGATAGGGGTGCAGCCTGATGCAGAATCCATTATGGACAAAGTCGAGGAGATGCAGCAAGCAGAACACGAGTTTCGCGAAAGGGACACAGAAGGGGCGGAAGAACCCGCTGTGGCGCCTTGTCGAATTGCCAAGAGGCATTCGTACGGGGATCAGAACGAGCTTCGTACTTTCATGGCACTCAACGAAAACTGTGGCTGTGTTACCCACTACAATGCATATATTAGGGAAGCTGGTTCTGTTTAGTGCAGGGTGCAAAACATGCACCTGTTTAGCTCAGGTGTTGCCATTGAATCCCATGAACTCAATCCTCTGCAGCTGTGACATGAGTGCCAAGGCAGGTAGCACAGGCACTTACGCAGCAACTGTCTTGTACAGAGCTGTGTAGGCCACCTATTTGGTACAGAGTGCCCTTCTCCCTGGCCGCCTCCCAGCAAACGCGCCCAGGTGGGGAGGGGAACAGCATCCACTTACTCAGCGGGTGTTCAATACGGCTGTAATAACCGATATAATAACCGTGGATGTGGTCTCCCCTGTCTCCCTAGTCGTGTACAGGCTATTTGCCAGAATTAAATGGGTGTCTGGCTTTGACAACAGTGCTAATTGGCAGTTGCTCGCGTATTTGGGAACACTCACTGGGGGCTGCTCCCACGCCAAATCCGCACTACTATTAACACATCCGTAACTCTAAATGTTAAACAAGACGCAATTGGAAATTAGAATATAGAAGGCGAAACAGAAGTGTGACTCAGATTACCGTCCCCCCCGGTGTTCAAATGAGGCGTTGGGCGATTGAGGGCTCCGACGGTTTCGGTTGCGGTCGAGCTGCGGCTTTCCTGTGGTAAGGACTGGCCTGTACAGTGTTTGATAAGCAGCGTCAATGCTTTATGGCATTGACAGCCGTTCAGTGTTTAGGACATATCTTGTGACATCGTCAAGCGGGACGAGCCGCTGCTGAAGGCGTCTTCTGGTCCCCCGAAGACGAGACCTTCGAACTCTTTCTCTACCCGTTGAACTGCCCGCCAACTATTCGGTGTACCGACAGCTGCCAACGCTGCCCCTTTAGGGCGGGTCGGCGTTGCTGCTGCTGCTGCATCAGCAGCACTCAGAGCAGCAGCCGCAGCAGCGAAACCTGAAGCGCGCCTGCGGGAAGCTACAGGCGAAAAAGACTGACTGCTGGGTCGTCGCCTGGCGGATTGCCGGGGTGGAGTGCGGCTGGTACGCCTAGGCAACCTGTTCGGGTGAGGCAAAACATCTCCTGACTCTGCAACGTCGTCCCACACGCGAGACCGACGGACAGGAGACTGCTCCCTAGAGACTGTGGGCGTTCGGGAGCCGCGGCATCGCGGGGAGCGCAACGGCGATTGCCTTTCTTGCAACTCTTTCAAGCTGTGACGGAATCCCAGGCGAAGAGAGGCCCCGTCTGGAAGCGCCCCATCCCCGCTGAAAGCTGCACTGGCATCTTTTTCGGGGGGCAAGAAGGTGAAGAGGGACTGTAAACACATGCAGATGAATCAAAGTCGCAAACGCTCAAAGCTAACTTCCCATGCCATTGGGAAACCAGCTTACGAGAACGAGCTGCAAGCGGCCGCACCCGCCTCCACACACTTCGTACAATACAAATCGCGGGCGTAAAAGCCAGCAAAAGGTCGCAGCACACTGTGCTTAACAAGAGTCATGCGGTGTTGCACAAACTAATAAATAATAGCCACAGACTGTTTGTGCATTTTTACGCCCATAACTACGTGTAAAACGACATGAAGCAGCACACTTCATCGTGCCTCTTTGCCACTGTCGTTGCTGTTTGTGCGAACGTTGAGAAGAATGAAGCGCACTGAGCAAACCTCATCCTGGCATAGTTTCAAATTCGTGCACAACTCAAGGGATGTGGTTTCTAATGTGGATGATTGTGAACTCAAGTAAGCCTGCATTCGGCACGTGGCTTGACGCACCCGATCTTGTTTCCGCTGTTCTTTGAGTCTCGTGTAAATGTCTATTCTTAGAGCGTTTGCGTCTTCAGGGCTGGGCACTGCCGCCAGCTGCTCCAGCCATTTGTCTCTTGACAGTTCCTCCTCTTTCCGTTCGGCTTCGTCGTAGCCCAACAGTTGCAGCCGTTGCGCCCTTGTCAATACACCAGATGCAGGCTGCAATAGCTGCTGCTGCAGCTGCAGCCACTGGTTCTGCCCCTCAAATGGCAACAAAGCAGCCAGTAGCAGACTGCGCACAGTCAGAGGTTGATGCCTGCAGCGTAGACAACGATACCAACAAACCATATAGCATAAATTGGCAACTGACTTCACCAGTGACCACCCCAGCACAGGCGTTGCAGCAGAGCAGTCGTGTCGCCTCACAGACACTTTTTCGTCCTGAGCATCACTGATTATCTACTCTTAGTAGCCTCGTACCACTTGGAAAGCTGCAAATGGGTGGTGCGGAATGCACGTATCTGCTCCAGAAGCGCCCCGTCTTCATCCACAGCCCCATTATCCGCATGTTGCTGCGAGTGCGGTTCCTTTTGCGGTCCCCTCTGCAGGTGAGATTGCTGCTGCCCCTCCCAAATCCTCCTACAGGTCGATTGTTCAGGCCCAAGGCGTTCTAGGACCTGCAGCTGCTGCCGTCGCGCTGCTAGGTGAAATAGCACCATGTTCTGTTGCTGCTGGTGCTGCTGCTGCAGGGAATCTGCCGCAGCACTGTAGCGCTTCCTGCTGGAGCTGCGGCGGCCTGGAGTCCCAACTGAATTTCGTCTGCTGCTTCGGGGAGTCCTCTGCGCAAGGTCCGCGGCAGCGACAGCAGCTTTTGCCGGATCTACGGAAACCTGTGCGTCTTGACGTTGCAGCTGGAGCAGAACAAGCTGCTGTTGCATGCGCACATGCCGCAGCAGCTGCTGCTGCTTCTCCTGCTGCTGCATCTGCGGAGCCAGGATCTGGTCTCGCAGCCATCTCCGGTGCCGCTGTTGTCGTTCCCTCCAGTCTTTCTTTACGTACACGTATGCAGTTCGCCCCTCAGAGGAAACCCACATGTTGCTGCTGATTTGGTGCTTTATCTCCGCTCCTTTCAAATCAAATCGAGAAATCAAGTCTGTGAACACACCGGGAACAGGGACAAGCCCATCTATGCATGCAAGGAAGGTGATATATGCAGGAGCCGGCAGCCCCAGAATGCCTGTCTTTGTACTCGCTTAACTGAGGCCCTCAACGGCTGCTGAAGAACTAGAGAGGGAAGCAAGCGTGAGTATGGCTGCAGTATGAATATCGATGCTGTTTGAAGACCTCTTGCGTCGGCACCTTCAACTCTGGAGCACGTAGTTTCATCACTTCACGCTGACTAACCGTTCCTAAAGGAGAGGTAAAACCACCAAGTATCTGTTTGCATGAACATGTGGGTAATACTGCGGAACAGCAACGACAGCGACAGAAGAAGCAGCACCAGCAGCGCACAAATAATCGGCAGAGAGAAACAAATGCATATATTCGCGTACAACCATGGTAGGGGCCACCATAGGGAAAAGCAGTAAGTGTGCCCCCAAAATAAAGGGAGAAGCAACGTGTACAGTCAACGAGGTGTCGCTAAAAAGGAGCAGGAGTGAGCGATGCAGCGCTACTCCGTGGGTTGCGGTAAACAACAGAAAAGAGAAGGGATGAGATTTAATTTACAAGTTGATCAAAGGCCCCTCCATGGCAGCGTCGAAGGAGTAGGCGTGCGTAACGCCTTCTAGGTCAAGGAATGCCGATAGGTCATCGTGGGCAAAGGCCACAGCACGCATAGGTCTGGCTTGAAACAATTCCTGAATGTCTCTGTCCAGCCCAGTCTTCGCCTCTGTCTCAGCATCTGTCTCCTGCACCCCAACACTCATCGCTACCGAGGCCATGACTCCTGGATCAAGGTCCCGATTCCGCAGACGCGCTGACGCTTCCCGCAGAAGCAGGCACCGATGCGTCTCCAGCGATAACCCAAACGCTTGTGGGCATTTTTCTATCCCTGCGAAAACCACACAAGGAAAAATAGCGGGATGCATCATGTGCCCATTCAGAATACTGCCGCCCGGACAGCCCAGAGGATCGCGGCAACAGCCAGCGAAAACGCATGATGTGGCGCAACAACAGAGTCTCCTAAATAATACAAAACAAAGTCGCTCAGCTATGGGTATGCAGGAAAGATATGCAACGCCACAATGGAAATGCTAGCTTCAGGCCAACAGCAGGTTTGATGAAGCCAACCAACTGCAGCAAGGCACTGAGTCCGAGGCCGCCAGCGCAGTTGCAGAAACAAGTAAATGCAAAGCCACCAACCACATATGTGGCCGAAGACCAAATGCGTACCCAGACAAGCAAGCCAGTCGTGTTCGTAAGCAGCTATCGCGCTAGGGGCCCCCCGTCCGCTGCCAAGATCACAGAAGACACTGAACCGGTCGGCACCGTACTGCTTGGCATAAGCCACCACCTAAACGACACACGCATACACCCCCAAAGATGTCTCAAAACAAAGATCAGGACTTCAGCAGCTGCTGCAGCAAACGCATGGCGTTGCTTTTGCAGGCATGGGAACTGACAAACAGCGCGGAACGCGTGCCCCATAACGCGCCCACTTGTTGCAGCTGCCGTTACTCTCCTAGAAGCAGCAGAAGCATATATGCGTGCTCCTATGCTCCCCCGAAAAGTGGGACGTCACCTGTTTGATGAAGCTCTCAATCATTTCGCCGTACATGCCGGCGGTGGATGTGGCGATTTGGGCTGTGTGGCCCCTGTAGAGGAAGGCCGTAGGCTTGCCTACGTAGGACGCCGGATCGACAGCGCGTGCATCAGCAGCAAAGGCGCTGGCAGAAGCAATGGCGGCCTCCGTCAGGTCACGCGCCGCCTGCTCCGCTTCCTCTTTTGAGGGGCATTCATCTTTGCACGCAGCACTTGCCCACGACTGCACTGACCAGCAAGATGCAACTTCGTGAAGAGGAGACTGCCTCCGCCGGGACTGATACGCAGACAAAAAACCAATCACTGCAAACGTTGCTGTCATGCAAGCACCTCGAACACCTCCGGTAGTCTAAAGGGCCACAACAGTCCAGCAGCACTTCATTACCACTCCATGCTGTTCACAGCTGGACCGAAGGCTGCCCAGAGCTAGAGAAGGGTTATGCAAATTGAGCATTCGAAAAGGCTTACCGCTGTGCCCACCTCATCACACCGAGAACGGCGTAGCCCACACTGATTACCAGTTGCGATGTAGGGAGCCGAACAGCAGGCTGCCGACCGCCGGCGGCGCTGAATCGAGGCGGAGGAGGACGGAATATGCCGACGTGTAGGCTCTGGCTGAGAGAGCGGGAAGGAAATGCCTTCTTCTTCCCATAGGGTCGAGTCGTGTGTCGAGGCGTGCGTAGACAGGTCCCACGTTCCCCCCCGCGCCTCCGCCTCCATAGGGAAGGCCCCTTCACACGTTCCTCCAGTGTTTTCAACAGGTGGAGAACTCATCTGAACCCTGAGACTTGAGTTGCAGTCGACCTAGCGCACCTCCCTCAGGGCCCTGAGCGGCCGTCCCCCAATGTCAGATCGGCATCTGTGGCGGTACATACAGCTGGAAACATGCAGCAAGATCTAATAAACAATCAAGTGCATGAAAGTGGGAGGAACCAGAATCCCCAGGAGGGGGTTCCCCGGTTACCCAAAATTTGGTCTTGGCAGTGCAGCAGGAGGAGGACACCGAGGTTTCGACAAGGTCTGCAGTGATACCCCGCCACCGCTACCAAAAATTCAATTAAAAATAATAATCATGTGCTCAAATGGATAACAGGAGTAACAACGTCGAGACACGTAGCTGGTGAGTGAGGGTGGTTGGTGGTTTCCTCGCGCCTCGCGTGTAGTGTGAATTGTGTTTTTCCCGTCTTAAGGACACGCAGTTCGATGAGCGAAAATTGTGACAATCCTTGAACAGATGGGGGGAGTTGCTTAAGCTAGCAATGAACGTGCGTTAAAATAAACGTTCTTTGCCACAATTGCGCGGTCACCCTGGTGGCAGCGCGAGGCTTCGCACGTTCAGCACGCCTTCCAAAGTATCTTAGCGTGCAGCCCCCTTGTACCCATGAATGTGCACACAAATTCCAACGTACATTTGTGCTAGAACACTGCAAGCCTACAGAATGAGGTGAAAACCCTTCGGACAACCCCCCAAGCTAGCCATTCAAATAACCGGCTCTTCCCAGCAACCCTGGGCAACTAACCCTACGCTGCAATGGCCCATTAAATGGCCGCCCAAGTACGAATTCGCATAGGGCTCCTCACTATGAAGTGCGTACTACGGGTGCAGGCAAAAGTTTGCCTATTACTAGACAAACGTACTTCTGAGCTAAAAGCAACTGAGAGGATAAAGGGAAAGACCATAGACAGGTTGAGTTGTTTTGAACCAGAACCCCTTGTTTGGGGGTTCGCCATATGCCTTGCTGCTTCTTTCCAGATGCAGGCGGTCCAAAGACCAACATCCTACAGCTTGCTACCTTTGGTTGAGTTATCTACAAAGGCAGCAACAGGCTACTAAAGGGCTGGTTCACGTTTACTCATCATCACCCTCCTTGCTATCGCCTCCTCTCAGCGCCTTTCTCTTTACGCGACCTGGCCGGCCGCCCCCGTAGGGCGAGGTAAGTGAGAATTCAATATACTTCTCGGAGTCAACCCGTACCATAAATGACGGGATGTCGACGATCTGCTTTCCCACGCGAATGTGGCGCTGTCTAATGAGACATCTGGCGTGGTGAATAGATTTTGCAAGACCAAGCTTGAACACGCGTGTCTGCAGACGGCGTTCGAGGAACTTCTGCACCGTCAGACCTAACACGTAATCCAGCTTCTGTTCCCCTTCGCTCAGCAGCCCGAGCCGAACCATGCGGCGCAGAAGCGCCGTCCCTAAATAGCAATAGTAGGCACATTCAGATTCCCAACACTGTGTAGCAGTTTGCACAGGGTAACGTGTGGTGTCTGTGAGAGGATTTGTTCGCAAACTGCTTCGCAACATACACTTGCTGGCAATGTTCAGGTACCTGCCACCACTCACCCTGGAATATACGCCGGGGATCCTTCTCCTCAAGAGTCAACAGCTCACGAGCTGCCGAACGAATTTTCGCGAGCGCATACTGCACCCTCCAAACCTCTCGCTTATTCTTCAAGCCGTACTCGCCCAGAAGCCGAAGCTCCTGGTCCAAGCGCTCCTGAAGAAGCACAACGCAGCATAGCCTCAACCACAACTCTCAACAAATGCCTACCACTTCATATTCCCTAGGCACCCTCGACTGAAGCATCTGGAATCTCAGTCTCAGCCGGCAGCGCCAACGCATCCCTGTGAAGTTCACATATGCGCCGGTAGCCTTCTACAAATTAGCAACTTAAGGCGCGCTATCTCATCCTCCAGACACAACTTAATCTCCAGAGAAACAAAATGGGAAGCACCGGCGTTCTAAAGATGAAACAAGCCCCGCATGCGTTCCTTGAAATGGTGAAGGGCACTGCATTGCGGCTGCACTAGATTGTCACAGAAAAATCCGTGACGCCCTCTGAAAACAGTTTCCCATCATTCTCATATAGTCCTAATCATATAGGTCAGAAAGAAAAACACGAGGGGTCTTCATGTAGAGGTCCCCACACGCGCCCGGCTTGAAATTGTGGAGAGCGCTAAGCAATAACACACCTTTTCAAAGGGGCGCTTGGGGTTGCGCGCCGTCTTGCTGTGGTTCCTGTAGCTCTTCGGCATTTTCACGAGGAATTTGGAGGAAAAGGCCACAGATAACTCGAAAACAGATGGCGAAAGTGGGCACAGGCACGGAAGCTCCTGTAGGGCACTTCCCCACCGGGGGCTGCCCCGCCTCTGCATGCACTGCAAGCCACGCAGGGCTGCTGTAGCGCTCAGGCAATACAATATGGCTGGGATGGTCTCTAGCACCTTAGTGACCATAAAGAGAAGGATTAGCACATTAGAAACTAAGAAAGGGAATTAATACTGCTAAATGCTCTAGGAATCGGGAACCGTACATAGAGCCAAAGCTTAGTAGGATTACCCCCGCCGGTAGCCACTATCGGCAGTGTGGCGTACTACCTAGTCACTACTTGGGTACCAGGTAGGCTCCTTTAGAGATCTAATTGGATAGGAAATAGAATTATCACTATATAGGTGTATTATGTCTATAATTACAACTTTGGTGGAGTTCTAGGTCGGGCTCCTGACCTTTCCACCACATTTGATATCCCCCCCGTCATCCTGTAGGTTGGGCACTGACACCTAGCCATGACCGGGGTCAATTCGGAACACAGTCCTTTTATTCTATGAACTCGCCTTGTTAATAATAGGGACTCCAAAATGATTTGGTACTTGCAGCATAGACCTCTGGGGATGTTGGTAGTTTAGAGGTTGTACTTAGGAAGCCCGGCATTCCGAGATGATATAAGTAGGCACAGCCTAGGACGGCTGTGCACTACAGCTGCTGTGGGTCCCGCCCGTGCGGTTTAACGTCAATATGACAATATACGGGCACATCTTTCTCCTTATAAAATATTCATACGTATTTCTTTTAACGACGATTGTGAGCATGTATTTTTGCCAGCACTCCTGGTCAGGAATTTCGAACTGTAGACGGCAGTAGTAGAGTACCAGTATGGAGTGCAGTAGGGTCAAAACTCTAGGGTAAGAGTTAAGCAAAACCAGCTTACCTCTAATTTCAAGGGTTCTTCGGTACAGTGGCACAAAGCGCTGCTGCTGCTGTGAAGCATAGTCTGTCTGTTATTGGACAGTCTGTATAAAGTTGGCACGTGTACCAATACCAGTGCCTCATATACAAACGGCACACATGCAAAACATCTCAACCTTCTGCACTGTTCATGATGCATACAGCGAAAAATGCTTGTTTGAGCTCGTATATGGGGCTGTCTTCCACCTTGAGTTGCACGAGATGTGGTGCAACACCTGCCAGGGCGCCTTGTCTCCGACATATCCAGAGCCCCCTAGCCCACGAGGTGCAACTGAGAACATCGGCCGTCACTCCCAGAGCAGGGCTGTCCTTTGTACAAACATGAGGAGCATTCGATGTTCTTAGGTTATGTGTATATTTACAAAAATATTCACTTCATACTCCTTTTCGTCGCTTGAAGGGAACCCACGGAAATGGTTTCTGTATCTGAGTACTGCATCTTCGGAGCATATCCCATCTGGATTGTGGAGGCTATCCGACACGCGCAACAACGTAGGTCCATTTCCTGGTTGACACGGGAAAAGGCTGTAGCAGTGTTGAAGAAACCTCAGCAAGAGAAGCCCTCGATAGACCCATACAAAGTTATCGCGAGGAGTACCAACAGTTGCGCGTAGAGGGGACCTAGAGACGAGAGGGTTTACGTCACAGACACGATAGGATGCTTACACATCAAGAAGAGATAAAACGCAACAGCAGTAGGAGAGAAGGAAGGGGCTGTTTTGGAAAAATCCGGGTACTGAATCTATGAGCATTGGCCCTGTGAAACCCATCCAAAACCAGAGGAGGAGGAGTGGAAAACGACAACTGCCAGGGAATTCGCCACTCCAGAATTAGGGATGACGCCTATAGCGGGGTACACGCTTGTTTCGGAACAAACAAAGGGCGGGCGAGTACCAACAAGCATTTGATAGAGGCGGGAGTTGGCTACTATCGCCAATCGTGGAGTGATGAGATGGGATTAGCGTGTTTCCAGTGCAAAGGCAAGGGGCACCAAGCCGAGGGATTTTCTCTCGCGTGAGGAGACTCACAGGTCCGGTGAGGCCTGTAATCATTGGGGTGGTAAAGGCATTCCCCTAAAAGCCCACCGAGCGGCCTCCCCTGAAGGCAGACTAGATAGGCCTGCGGCTCATATGCCTATAGTAGCGGGAGAGAAGGCGGCCTTCCACAAGTTGGAATGCACCTCGCCGCAGCTCACGTTGCAGGACCGCCCCACATACGAGCGCAAACAAGCCTGCTTGGCTTTACATAGCGAGACTGTAGACAGTCGTTAACTTCTGCCTGCGTGCCGCTGGTCTAGTGGGTGCCGGTTAATGGTTCATGCGCCAACTTTCTATAGGCGTGCCAAACTTGGTACGGGCAGTGTGCCAATGGTTGGAGCATTCCATTGTGAAGCCCTAGGGCAACCTCTCATGGCAAGCACACGTCACAACATTTCATCTGAAGCAGGATCTAGGGCCAACGAGCTCATTCCAGAGTATGCCCCACGCTCTATGCCTCCACAATCAATAGAGAAGAATGCCATCCATCCAAAGAATGCCATCCATCGATTTTCCCTACCCCGTCACCCACTGCGCCCTGCACGTCACAGCACTACGGTTCAGCCGCCGCCTCGGTCAGACACTACTGTCCCCCGTGTAAACCCAGCAGCTCTAAGAAATACTCTTTAAAAGAGTATGCATACAGTTAACATTGAAAGTGAAGGCTTAGCTTTGAGGTGCACCTTTAACAGTGGCCTTCGCTTCCATTAACACCTCCAGCCGCGGCAAGTGCCCATCGGCTTCCGTGCTCGGGGCTGCAGCAGCAGCCAACTTTCCCTCTCTAGCTTTTAACAACGTGTAAACAAACCTTCTGATAGTAAGGAGAAATGGGTCCTCCTCCCGTAAAACCCACGGAGAACCCGGTTTCTCAGCCATCGACTGCGGCTTCTGCCTTCTCCTGCTTGTCGAAGCATACAAGACCTCTTCCTTCCTCTCCATCTGTCTTCTTTTCCTCTAAGAGCATAGTATAAGCAATCTTCTGTTTACGCCTATTCGTTTCTTCACGATACGAGTGGGCCCCTCTTGGGGTTCCACATCGGGTACGCTAGTGCGAGCCCCCCGAGTGATCGCCCTCCTACCTGCCTGCCTTCTTTGGTTGCAGGGACAATTTGTATCCACCTCTGCGAAAAATTAGATCAGTGTATGCTCTGATCAGTGTGTTAAGAATTGAGTCAGTTTTGAGGCTGGTGTTTCTGCGGAGACAGACACTGGAGGAGGGCGTTGATGGGCAGAGTTGAATCGCCAACCACGCTGCCGTCGCGTGGGCATTTTGCTGGGGTGTACAAGCACCCCAGATGCTGCAAATGAACGCAGCGGGCCCTCCAAACGACGACGAGAATAGCCAGGCCTCTGTGGGGCTGCGAGCCTCAGCAGGTGGCTCGAAAGGTGGGTGGAAAACCCCGGCCCCAGAGGAATGTGTCTCTGGTTCTTCTTTGCCTCCCAGACCTGTCTCTTCTCTCTCATGCACAATGGCTGATCCAGTGAGTAAGCCTTCAACGGAGGAACGTTTCCCCCTCGTGGCCAAGGAGGAATTGCCGGACTTGGAGACTGGCAGGGGTGTCTCCAATGTGCCATCTGGGGGGCTCCCTGCAACTCCTGGCCTTTCATGGGGGGGTTGGAGGCACAGCAGCAACAACTGCAGCAGCAGCACGGACCGACAGCAGCAGGGCTCCACCGCTGCTGCCCTACACCAACTCAGCCCCCAACTGCCAGCCCAGAGAGGGGTCCCCGTATCTTCTCAGGGCCTCTCCTCGTCCTCAGGGAAAAAGTGTCGCCGCTGGTGGAGGTTCCTTGGCATCGAGCCCCTGGCTGTACGTGCTGCTCATGTTGCTGTTGCTGCTACTGCCACTGCCATTGCATTTTGTTGTGCATGGGAGCTTTGGAGGGGCTGGTGCACACAAGATAGATTCCCTGGAATTGCTGCATCTGTTGCCGCTTGTGTTGTTGCTGCTGCTTTCTCTCGTGCCAAGAATGGCGGGATTACGTCTTCCTCTGCAGCTGCAGCCACTTTTGCTGCGCTGTCATGTTCCATATAGTTTTAGGGTTTGGGGCTCAGGATCCAGTGATGAGGTTTTAGAATGTAGGGTATATGCTGGTGTCACTGGAGGCCGCTCCGTGCACCGGTGTCGTGGTTGTTCGTGCATGGTAGGGTTGTTGGGTGTGCAGATAAGGCGGACAGCATATGTTAGTAGTGTCACGACGTGCGCATCTGCGAACGGTGTCTTGAGTGCGGTGTGGTGGCGCTGCTACAGGGGCAACAGAGGCAGGAACAGGAGCAGCCGCAGCAGCCGCAGCAGCAGCACCCGCGAGTTGACGTGCGCTTTACTTCCGTTGTTTTCTTTATCTTCTTTGCGCTGGAGATCTTTGTCAACTTTGACTGCGGGGCTATCCCATGCACGCTGTCCCGCATGGCCGATGAATTCCGTCTCTCCCCCACATGGCAAGGTGTAGATACACCCCACCGCAGACATTCTCCTTGCTGCTGGAGGCAATGTCGTTTTGAGGCAGCGTCGTTTCTTCACAAGCCTCCCCTAATTGCTCTCTGCATCTGTAGAATGCTTGCAGTGCTTCGGCTGGCTGGCTGCAGCTGCTACTTACCTTTCTGACGAGCAGCAGCAAGCACAAAGTGTACAAAGCTCGCTAATAGATTCGCTTCCACGTGTGCCTGCCATGTGGCCTCATGTGTATGTGCCCATTGAAATGCTCTCCTTTTCTATTGTGGTGCGTGGGTCTCCCGCGTTTGCATGAGGGGACATTGCGCATGCACGCATGGCTGCATCCATAATGCTTGCATGCTTGCACTTTGCGGCGGAGTTGCATGCGCAGGTATGTTGGGGGCCTTGCCGTATGTGGGCCTGACCCTAGCGTCTCCTTTAGCTGGTCGTATCTTCGCCTATTGGCCTGCCAAGCGCGTTGTTATTATATCGATGGCTTTAAATGCATTTGCTACTCTCCTAATGGTGCTGACATTGTTGCTGCCTCACGAGGTGTTGCCCCTCGCCAGCAGCAGCGGTGGCGGTGAGGAAGCTATTGGCGATGCGGCTAGTGCTGCGGTCACCAGCTTGGCTGCTGCTGCGCCGGCAGCGGAAATTGTTCCTGATGCGGGGCCCGCAGCCACAGCAGCTGTTGATGCGGCAGCAACGTCGTCGAGCCCCTTTTTTCGTCTCCCCGATTTTTCCTTTGGGGATTTGACACCCTCTGCGCTGCTGCTGCTGTCGAGCAGACTACTGGTGGGCGTCACGCAGGCTCCCTTTGTAATCTTTGCGCCTGTCTGGGTGGACGAGTTCGCTCCCCCAAAGAAAGCAGCACTGTGGATGGGGGTCATGCAGGGAGCCGCCGTCGTAGGAGTCACTGTAAGCCACTGCCACTGCTTGTGCTACTTCTGCTGCTGTTGCTTGCAGCCACTGCTGCAGCAGCCAACAGGACTGTCTGCGGCACGAATCAGTATGTGGCTTTCATCTTTTCACCTAGGATTTTATCTCTGCTCTTTTTCTCCCATGCTGCTTGTCATTTTCCTGTCGTTCTTTCGTGGATTTTCCCTTGTGCTTGGTGCAGGTTGGTTATCTGGCTGCTGGCGTTTTGTCTGTGTATTTGGGTTTCAACTGGCGGGCGGCGATATCCTTTCAGGTTTTCTTCCTTTGTGTCCTTACGGGGCTCATTGTTAGCGTCCCTCGCGAATATGTGCAGACACCAGGAGGCCCTGGGGCCTCTAAGTACTTGCAAGACGCCAACACCCCTGCAGATAATCTGGATTCAGACCAGCAGCAGCAGCAGCAGCAGCAGCAGCAGCAGCAGCAGCAGCAGCAGCAGCAGCAGCAGCAAGGAGACGAGCAGGATCAAACGCCGCGTGATCTGGCTGTTGCAGAAGGTGACTGCGAGGCGATAGGAAGTGGAGCGAGCCTCAGCCAAAGCCAAACGAAGACGGGGGGGACTCACAGGAGGAAGTCGACAGATGTTGGGAGGCGTCCGTCAGAGAGCAGCAGCAGCCCGGGAGCGCGGCCTTCTCCTCCTGGGGCAGTAGGGCCCTCTACAGTGGCTGGAAGTCGGCGACATGCTTCGCTGAAACTATTGCTGTGCGTGAGAGAGGGGCGTGCTGCCGCGTTGCACTGCTGCGCTCCCCTTCGGCAGCGCGGAGTAACACAGTGTGGGGCGTGCAGGGCAGGAGGATTGGTGTGTGTTTCTTGTTATTTGCTGCCGTGTATACCAAGCGTTCCTGCTGCTACCGCTGATGTCCTCGTTTTTGCGTCTGCTGTTGCTGTTCTTGTTGCTCCTGAACCCGCGTGCTACTCTTGCCTGTGGTGTGGATGTGCCGCAGGACCCCGATGTACATGCTCCCTGTGCTGACACTCTGTGCACTTCTGTTCGTTGTGACTGGGGTTCAGTTCTGGGGAACGATATTTTTTGCTTCTTTCCTGGGTCTGAGTCCTGCAGCGGCAGTGGGAGCTTTTGCTGCTGTTGCTGCAACATCGCCTGTGGCTGGGGTCCTCATGGGCGGCCTGACTGTTGATGCGGTTGGCGGCTACAAAACCTCCAAAGGCCGCACGCGAACGTTAGCCGCATGCACTGCTTATGGTGCCGTCGCCGTTGCCTGCGGTGGGTTTTCGTTCGTCGATGGCACTGCGCCGCTCAGGCTGATGTTTCGCTGCATAACTGCAACCTCAAGAAAATAACTCCGCCGTGTGTTGCTATGTGTGGGTGTGCGCGCAGCTGTAGTCGGCAGTTTTTCGTTGCGGGTCTATGTCTGCGTGGCTTGCCTGTGGTTGTTGCTCTGCTTTGGGGCGGCGATGCTGCCGCCGCTGACGGGGATACAAATAGACGCGGTCTCTCCCAATCTACGGACGCTGGCAAGTGGCATTTCCATGTTTTTCTACAATATTCTGGGCTATGCTTTAGGTGAGGTCTGCACCGATATGTAGGAGCTAGGGGAACTGAAGAGCCCCAAGGGTACAGATATTGTTGAGCTCCTTAAACGGCACTCCGCCAATGAGTTGCTGTAGGAGGTGGCGTAGCCGAACATCGCCATGTTTCTCTGCCCGCAGAGGTGCACCTAGATGTAGAGACAAACGTAGACAAAGAGATACACAGAGTGGGAGAATGCCAGCACAGGCCAGGAAGCATTATGCATTATTTTTATCTTGGTACAAGTTCTTCTGCTGCAACGCTGGCTGCTGGTACTGCTGCTGCTACGGTGATTGGTGTTGCTGGCTTTGCGTTTGCTGCTGCTGATGTGGCGGATCACGGTTCCATTGCTGCTTTTGCTGCGACATTGCAGTGTGTTTCTGTTGATGGTGGTGATGTCGATGTGCTGCCACTGCTGGTTGTGATACTGGCGCTGTGAGTGTTGTGCGTTTCCTGTCAGGAGCTTTCCTGCCTGGAGTTGCAATGGATTTGTTTCATGGGGGAGACGTCTTGGGCCTAAGGGTGAGTGTGGCATCGTTGCGTCTTGTGCTCTTTCGCTTCCTCGTTGCCCGCTCTTCTTTCGCTTCCCCTCGTTCTGCGCCGTTTTACTGTGGCTTAAAAGCGTGAATATAATTACTAGTAACGATGACACCGGCATTAGCAATTACATTATCTCTAACAACGATAGCAGGAATTGACTGTGTTAGACGGCAACGAAGGCAACTGTAATATTTCAAACGTACAACACTATCATTAGCATTATTTAAGTATACCGAACGCAACGGCCGCCGGCTCAATACTAAACCATTAATCTGGAAAACACATCAAAATGCCACCACGCGCATGCTGTTCTTTTCCTTGGTGGCGTCGTGGGTTAGGATAAAAGGGGAGGGTTTAGGGTATTGCTTTGTACGGAAGGAAATACGATGGTCTGCTTGTGGTTCTGCAGCTGGTTCTGCTGTGGTCAGTCTTTGGCTTTCTGTTTTGCTTCATTACTGCGGTGTACGCCTGGCAATTGGAAAGGAAGGAAGCAGCAGCTTCGTCTCGAGAGATCGAGCTGTGTGTAAACACTCGAACAGGGCCTTCCCAATTCACCGGTGCCTCCTCACAGCCCATTCGCCCTAAAAAGCCCCGCGGAGCGCGTGGCTTCCTTCCCATTACTGTTGACTCGGTGTGGCAGCAGCAGCCGTAATAGTAAGGCTAGCACGGCCCACTGCAGCCGCAACACGGTGAGCGGCAGCATTTTGGAGAACAGCATCCAGCACCTCAAGAAATGCAGCACGACCAAAACCAACTGTTCTAGCGTTGGCAACATCACCAGGAATGACAGTAATACCGTCGTTAAGTGCGATAAAAGCATGAAAAGCAGCAACAACGCTACTATCGGCTGTTCCGTCTGGAGGAGAGCTGGCGAAATCGACAGCAGAATTTGCAGCAACGTCAAACTTGCATGTATCTGGGCAACCTTCCAACGCAGGCTTTGAGCAGTGCAGTAACCGGAGCGCAGCAGCATCATTGGTGTGTACTTGCAGTTCAGAAGATGCTCTACTCCATCTACCCGTTTGGTTTTGTCGTTTTTTACAGAAAACTGATACTTTGCTTTATTGTAACTGGAGCGTATTATATCTGGTGCAGCAGTGCGTCTCTACTGCAGCAGTAGAAGCGGTAAGGAGGAATACTGAAGCAAATATTTCGCGGCTGCTGCGCCTCCGTTGTTTCCTTTGATACATTTTTCACGTCCCCTAGTGGGTCAACGAGGCCTATGCGGCCTTGCCACTGAAGATTTAGTTGGTGTCTTGTTAGCATTCCTGTTCTCATAGCGGCTGCTAGTGCTGCTAACACTGCTGCTGGTGCAGCAGGGGCAGGTGATGCTGTAACGTATCGGTATGATGAATAAACAGGTAGTTGGATTGTGAAGTGGGGCGTCGCAGGCGCCAGAGCATTGGTTACGTGCGTGAATGCTTGCATGCGGGCTGGCTAGTGAAGACTAGTTCGGCAGCGTAACAGATTTTTGCAGTGTTGGCGCATGCAGAACATAGGGCTTGGCTAGGTTTGCATGTGTGGCTGTCTTGCATGAGTTGCGACAGCGAGCGTTGCAACTTATGGCAGGCCAGCTCCTTTCTGCGCCAGGAGCAAGCCCTTGGGCCGCTGTGCCCATGATCCCTGCAGACTGGAGTGAAGATCAGCTCTTTTTGAAGAGACCATATCTCTGGTATTATCACTTCACTGGAGCTCACGCTGTCCGGCTTGCAAGATAGAGGATTTTCACTTGGCAGCATTGCTCGGCTAAGCGACACGCGAACTCCAGACCCATAGCATGAAGGCCTCGTGCGAAACGCTGATTAATTTTGAAGGCACTTAGTACGAAGAAGTGGGAATGAAATTCACATTTTATCACTGGAAAGCTCTATGCAATTGCAGCCGAGCGGATGACCCAGAATAGCGCAGATTCATTAGGGTTATCCTTCTCCCTGTAAAGGGGGAGTGCGGCTAAGCGCATGACCACATTTGCATAAGGTCACTATTAGCAGCCCATCCAGCAGAAGTCGCTTTTGCTGAGGGAACAATTCATGAAGAATGCTTCCTCCTCTGCCGACCGCGCAGGCAGGGCGGTTGGAGCAAGGAGGGAAGTAATTTCTACCTCCTCGTGAAGTTGCCAATGCATTCTGCAACAAACGTGCTTGCTAACGCACTGTCGCAGCGCTGTTCTTGTTAGGCGCTTCGTTAAACAACTGTTCTTACTTGCAAATATTTCCTTCACCTTTCTTAATAGGTGTTCCACACACATTTGCTACCCACGGGACAGTTTCTTGTCAAACTCAACCAAGGACGACTCGCTATGCACGTAGTACAATACAGGGAGACTTCATGTCGTCACCAGTACCCAAGACGTGCACGCACACGTGCAAGCACACGCCTTTGCTGCATGCACTGCAGGAGGCCAGCCCCGCTTGCACCCGCAGCCAGGTATTCTTTGAGGCATTCCCTAGTACTATAGGTACATTTTGACAACTCCTGCTACCCCATAAGCTTCCTACTTGGCATGCATGCTGCAAGCTTCCACAACCTTGTTAGGTTGTGGAAGCTTTCGTGCGCCACGTGAGCAGTCACAATTGTATGCAAACTACACAAGGAGTGTTTCGTCGCGTGAAAGACTGCAAACGTACAGCATCAGCTCCAACCTCTTCTCTTCCCAGGAAGGCAGTACTAAAAGGGTACGCCAGGCGGCTTTTGGAGATTTCATAGGAGTTATTCTGAATCTACCGTACCTCCTGACAGTGTTCTTTTAGGAGTGGTTACATGGGGAACTCGTTTTTCAGTGCGAGCATTTGGATTTGTTTTCGTGTTTTCGTTAGATAACCTCAACTTTCCATTTTTAGAAGCTCTTATATTTTTATCCGTATATATTCTGAGCATTTGTGTAGCTGAGATATGTGAACGGGGTGAAGGCGGCAGTAGTTACAGGAGGAAGTGATATTGAATTAAGCGCAGTTGTGTACGTTTTTATGCATTTAAGGGCTATCCAACATTTTTCTCTTTCTGTAATTTTAAAAAGTTTAATTAATCCGTATGTTCTAGTGCCTGTTATGGGGTACGCAGATGTTCGCAGCCAACTTTGCCAGCTGGTGGTTCAAGGAGTTGTAGCTCGCCAGCTGCATCAGGTCTCCATATGTATCTGGAAATGAGTGAAATACGTCTTTTGAGAAGGCCTGGTGCTTTTTAAATGAATGAAATACTTAATTCATGTATAAGTTTTGCCTGTTTTCCCCGTTTTCATTGCAGTGTACACACACTTGCGGCCCCGACGGCTCCGCAGGGATACGTATGAATATTTTATAAGGAGAAAGATGTGCCCGTATATTGTCATATTGACGTTAAACCGCACGGGCGGGACCCACAGCAGCTGTAGTGCACAGCCGTCCTAGGCTGTGCCTACTTATATCATCTCGGAATGCCGGGCTTCCTAAGTACAACCTCTAAACTACCAACATCCCCAGAGGTCTATGCTGCAAGTACCAAATCATTTTGGAGTCCCTATTATTAACAAGGCGAGTTCATAGAATAAAAGGACTGTGTTCCGAATTGACCCCGGTCATGGCTAGGTGTCAGTGCCCAACCTACAGGATGACGGGGGGATATCAAATGTGGTGGAACGGCCAGGAGCCCGACCTAGAACTCCACCAAAGCCGTAATTATAGACATAATACACCTATATAGTAATAATTCTATTTCCTATCCAATTAGATCTCTAAAGGAGCCTACCTGGTACCCAAGGAGTGACTAGGGAATACGCCACACTGCCGATAGTGGCTGCCGGCGGGGGTAATCCTAACTTTTGGCTCTATCTACGGTATTCGATTCTTAGAACATTTAGCAGTATTAATTCCCTTTCTTAGTTTCTAATGTGATAATCCTTCTTTTTATGGTCACTAAGGTGCTAGAGACCATACCAGCCATATTGTATTGCCTGTGCACTACACTGCCCCCCACAAGTCGCAGCCGAGATTACGAAAGGCAACGGAGGGGAGGTTGCGTTTTTTCTTTGGTTCTGCCTAAACTGAAATATTCATGTGTTTCATATTGCCGTTTATGTTATTTTAAGGGCACCTGCTGCTCCCATTACCGACGGCCGATTGAAGGCTCCCCGCCTGCCTTCTGTCCTTAATAGTGGCTGCTGCGCTCTCCTTCTGCTTCATTATCTCCTCCCATATCATTTGCATTTGCCTTGAGCCTTTCAATATAACACTACAATTACAAAAATCAAAAAACGCTGGTTCAAAGCCCCGCCCTTCTCATTCTTTCTTCTCCCGATGCTCTCCTGTATGACCCCCGTAGGCCCCTGGCTTAATCCATATTCTGTCATCGCGATGCTCTGAACCCAACGATTCAATCTGTATATGTTGAAACTTGCATAGTGAATGAATGAACCCTTCGGCGACCACACAACAGATGCAAGTCATCGCCGCCTGCCGAGCTCAACACAAACACAATATTTTCCTCAACTCTGAAGAACTGGGAACATTAAGATCCTTTATCAGAAAGTCACCAGCAACAACTTCTCGTTTACGCTTCCCGCAGCGGTCACATTAGTAGCAGCAGCAGCTGCTGCTGCTACGGCAGCGGCAGCTGCTGTAGCTCGCTGCTACAGCTCGCTGCTACAGCTGGCTATTGAGGCTGGTTACTGCAGCACGAGAGGATCCACTCTCTGCTATCCTCTCTGCCGCAAAAGGATCCTCGTATTTTGCTCGAAACAACTAGTGCCAGGGCCCGCATCCGGAACGACCGGAGCGGCCGACCTTAGCGGCAGCAGCAGCAGCAGCAGCAGCAAAGAGCCTGAGCCAGAGCAGGATCGGGATTTTATCGGGAGATGGCTGAGTTGTCGGGTGGCAGCTCTTGCATATCCTTGAGCACCCGCAGCATAGAGTTCGTTGCAGCTGCAGCAACAGATGAGGGGCCCTCCTTAAAAACTGCCTCTGCTGCAGAGAAGACCCCCAGCGTTGAGCTGCCTCCTTCAGCTCCCCCAAATCAAATCCTCTGCGATGCTGCAGACGTGCCTCTCCCCTACTGGCGAAAAGTATGATGCCTTAGTGTTTTGCTGCTGTTGCTCCTGCTTCTGCTGGTTGCCGGAGTGTACGTGAGTGCGAGTTGTTCTACATGCGCATATATGCCGTTTCTTCGTGTTGTGTTTCAATGGCATTTTGTGTGCGGAAACGATGATCTCGCATGCGTGCGGGTGCATTGGTGTGCATGCAGTGTCGAGGGGTGGGTTTGGGGCTTTTAAATCCCCACACCCTCTGTTTTGTCAACTCTGTCGTCCAAGCCTTAGCGTATACACCTGGATTTGCTGATGATTGCTTAGAGGAGCGTCACAGGCTCTCTTGCTGCAGCAGGCTGCGTGCTGCAGCACGGAGGAAGGAAGCTGCAGCAGCAGCAGCAGCAGCATCGACAACAGCAGCAGCAGCAGCAGGGGGGAGGAGGGTGAACCTGCCGGAGGTGTCGTCGACATTTTGCGTTTTCTGCAAACTGGAACAGCAGGTGCTGTCTATACACCGAGCAGATGGGGGGCCCCAGCGTTCGGCAGCTAAGTGCCCCTCTGGGGGGCCCCCAAGAGGATGGGTACATAACAACTTTGCCAGTTATATAAAACCTTTTATTTGGAAGGCTTTCCGTCCTGGTAGACAAGAAGATGCGCATGAGTTCTTTCGTTATCTAATAGACGCCTTAATGAAAGCCCCCGCTACCCCCGCTGCTGCTGCACTGCAGCAGCAGCAGCAGCAGCAGCAGGAGGGAAGGAAGGAGGTTAAGCCTGAAGTAGCTCTAACAAGTTACTTTGGCCGTCTCTTTGGCTGCTGGCTACGCTCCTCTGTTGTATGCTCTCAGTGCAGCAGGGCATCTGTGCGCTTTGAAGGTGCAGTTGATATCTCTATAGATATCGGGGGGGGGCCCTCGCCCCCCCCCGGCAGATCTGGTGCTTCTGCTGCAGCGCAGCAAAATGTCTACAGCATTGAAAAAGCCCTTAGCCGATTTGTTGCCAAGGAAACTCTTAGTGGCAGCAACGCTTACATGTAAGTCTGTTGTTTCCTTAGGGTTTAGGGTTTAGGGTTTGGTTTGTTTAGCCCTTTTTTTGTATTTTCTCCCTCTTATTTGCTTCCCCTGCTTCTTACAAATATCATCTTTTACTCAGTTGCTTGGCTGGTTAACCAGTTTGCTGTTGTTTGCCTCAATAAGTTGCTCGTTTCCCCCTGCTTGCCATATCCGTTGCTGTGGCTCTAGTTCCTTCCCCGGAGTTGTAATCTGCATGCAGCTTGCATGTATTTTGCATGCATTTGTGTGCATTTGTTTTTCCTTTTGCATACAATTGTGTGCTCCAGGTGCAGCCATTGCCAACAGAAGGTGAAGGCGACAAAGCAGTTAGAGTTGTTTACTCTTCCTCGTGTATTAACGCTTTCTTTAAAGCGTTTCTCCTTGACTGTTTGTGGCGGCTGTGCGCTGCCCATTAAGAATCACCGTCCTGTGTCCTTTCCTGCTCTTCTTAATCTCCTTCCCTTCCTCCCCCAAGACGCCCTGCAGCTGCAGCAGCGCCTGCTTCAGCAGCAGATCGAACACCAGTTACAGGAACTGGAACACAACCAGATGCTTGTGCAGCAGCAGCAACCACAGCAACAACAGAAATCCTTGAAGAAACAGCAACCTGCAATGGACAAAAAAGCTTCCCCTGCTGCTTCTACTACTGCATCGTCGCCCTGCTCCTCCCCTGCGCACTCTCCTAGCCCGTCCCTCCCCTCCCGTAGGCTTGCTACTGCAGCAACAGCAGCAGCAGTAGCAGCAGCGGCTGGCGCTGCAACCAGTGAAGGTGTCACAGGCAGCAGCACCGCCAGCGATTCTCATCCTTCCTCATCACGATCTGCAACTTCGGCACCAGCAGAAGCGGCAGCAACAGCAACAGCAGCAAGTGTGGTTTCTCCCTCCTACATGTACCGTTTGTTCGCTGTCATTACACATTCTGGAGGGTCGCTTTCTTCAGGGCATTACCGTGTCTTTGTTAGGGCACCCACAGTGGGGACAACCGCAAGAGCAGCAGGAGGAGCAGAAGGGGGAGGGGGCAGAGGCGACTGGATTGCCATAGACGATGAGCTTGTGTCTCTTGTCAGTGAGACAGCAGTGCTGCACAGGCTCCAGCAAGAGGCCTATCTCCTCTTTTACTCTAAAGTACCGTCGCAGGCAGAGCAGCAACTGCAGCAGCTGCTGCAGCAAAACAAAACCCTCAAGCAGCAACTGCATCAACAGACGCGGCAGCTGCCGATTCCAGCAGTACAAGATTCAGATGATGAAAGTAGCCTCAGCCCTCCAGAGGACACTGCTGAGCTTAGCACCAGTGAGGATGAGTGGAGCGATGATAGCAGCAGCAGCAGCACTAGCACACGCAACAGCACGAGCAGCAGCAACAACAACATGCATGCTGTGCTGCCGAAGCTGCGGCACCTGGACAGATTACGACGTACAATGCAGATCACTTCTTCGCGAAGACGACGAGTTCTTTTGGCTCTGCGGTGTCGGTTTCTTATTTTTTCCATTCAAAGAGCTAGAAAGGGAAAAAGAAGCATTAGAGCAAACACCAATCTGAAGCAGCAGCAACAACAGCAGAAACAGGAGCAGCAGCAGCGCCAGCAGCAGCGCCTCCAGCAAACACAGCAGCTGCTACAACAGGAGCCGAAGCAGAGGAGGTCCATTGGTGTTGTAACAGAAGCAATGATGAAGAAACGGAAGGAGGAGGCATCAAGTAGAAAAACGCAATTTGGCTGCAGCGCAGCACCTACCTGGGACGAGGAGGAGGGGAACGACGTCCCCTCTGGTGCTGAAGCAGCAGCAGCAGCAGCAGCAGAACAGCAGATGTTTGAAAGGCTGCAGAAACAGCAGCAGCCGCTGCCGCAGAAACGCAGCAGACACGACAGAGAATATGATTTAGGCCGCGTCACCAAAGTGAAGAATCCTCTAAGTCATAAACCCGTCGGTGGTGAGTTGTTGTGTTGTGCATACACCTGAAGTTTCTGTCTCTTATTTGTGTGTCTAGTTTGTCTGTTCTTCTATTGTGGTATACTGTCTCTGTGCTGGTCGTCTCTGTGTGTTCCTCTCCCCCTCTGTCTCTGTTTGTCCCTGTCTGCCAGTAACATATTATAAACCCCTCCGTCTAATGTTGTAGGGTTATGCAATACAACAACACATACACATAATAAAATGCTATGCGCATACGAATAATATGATTAATCCTTTATGGTTTGCTGCAACAAAGTGATGATGTATTGACACAATAATAACTAAACAGCATTAGCATTTCCCTGCAACATGGAGTGTGTACAAATGCATATACGAATTACTATATTTTAGGTGGAGTGTAATACTAGCAAGTGCAGATGGTATTATGAGACTATAATAATTGCTTTTTCTCTGCCTGTTTGCAGAGAGTACTGTCGTGAAAACGCAAAAGGATGGCGCAGGCGGTTCTTTCCTGGTGCATCAGCGGGCAGCCTTTGATATGCTGCAGCAGCAGAAGCAGAACGGCAGCTCGCGTTCCTCTCAAGGATATACGAACAAAAAAGGAAATGACAGGAAAACCCCGCAGAAGAACAAGCGCATGCAGAAAACGGGGTGGAGGAGGAATGGTCATCATTGAATCTCTTCAACGGACATGCACTGCATGCATGCATCAGCAGCCTAGTGGCATCGCTGCTTGCTCTGTTACAGCAAACCCTAAGCCCTAAGCCCTCTTCCTTTAGTCGTGTAACGCCTACAACAAACAGAGGCGTCGCTAAATGGGGTAAAATGCATGCAGCGATTGTAGCTGTTCCCAGGTTTAAAGGTTTTGAAGGGTCTTGCAAGGAAGGGAGTAAAGTGGACTGCGCCTACGTATGCTTCTGCTAGCAACAGACAGGCACCTTGTGTGTAAAACAAGAAAAAAATGAACATTGCAATTAATACCTTCGCAGTGAATTGCTTTTTATTTCTTGTTATTTAGATTGATGGGGCACGAATACTTCGGCAAAAGGCCCCCAATGTGCAAAAGGTGCAGATACACTGCGAACAACAGCAAGCGTGGCTTATGGCCACCCTTCTCATTTAAGTTATTTCTTTCCTGTTTTGTCATTTCAAGTGATTCGCACCGCGACAGATGAATGCTTCAAGTGCAAATGCAAAGAGGGGAGAAAGTTGTTGCTGGTTATATTCTACCCTTCTCTTCCCTGCCTATCTTTGGCTGTCCTGCTAGGTAGGAGAGTTTAGTTGCCTCAGTACCTTCGCAGTAAGTTAAGCGATGCAGGGATAGGTGGAGGGCAACGCGGTGTGGGTCCACTCATGTGTAGAGCATTGGAGTATGACCGGACGAGGGGACAAATGCCAAAAATTCATCAGGAATTTATAGCGTGCAACATGCCTATTTGGGTAACTAAATAAGCGCACAGGAGATACTCTGAAGCTTCATTAAGCTCTGCTTTCTGCTAGACACTTCTCCCCTAACGTGCTTTTATGCGTGGCGAGCAGCTTGACGCACAAGGCTTCCTAATGCCCTCTAAAACCTTGAAGTGGGGGATAATAATCTGCTACTTGGTAAGGGTTACATTAAGTCTACCGACTCTAATGCAGCTGAAGAGGCTCGTTGTCTAGAATTGGCCACTCCATACACAATCGCATACGTAATGTTACACCTATGCATTCATGCCTTCTTTATCAAGAGGAATGAATTCTTGTTGTTAAAGGGAATTATCTAAAGTGGTTAGCGCTGCTGCAGTACTACATATAGGCAAGAGGGTACGGGAACAATGTTGTCCCTGCGTAACGAACTGCCAAATATGCAATATGGCAGCAGCCATCCGTGTCTGTCTGGAGAAAAGGAATACTTAATGTACAAAATAGGCAAAATTAACATTGGAGATTAATGCAAAAGGATATAATTGAATGTTACACGTCGTCAAGTATCGCTATACTCCCCAGGAACACGCTGTTCTGTCCTCTGTCTGGCTTGAGAGGCGCGTCTTAAGCGGGGGGGCCCTTAGGGTTAAACCCGCTGGTTTGTACTGTGTAGAGAGGTATTTTAATAGTAAAACAAAAACAAAGTAACAGTTAAGAAAGGGAGAACACATATCTTTATTTTCTGTCGCTTTCTAGCAACCGGCCGCAGCTAAGCCCGCCGCCGTAGCCGACTGAGCTGCATGCGAGGCGGCGTTGGGGCGGAAATACTTTTTCTCGTTTTGCAACACAGAACAAATTGTTATTTTCATTTATTTCTTCTATTTATTCCTCTGGAGAGGCGAGGGAATTGCACCGAGAACGACGGCTCCTGAGCGTTTCTGCACAGAATGTTCACTACCAGGTGGGAGGCTACATTTTTCTCCCCGTCAAGACGAGAAAATTGAATTCAATCATCGCAAATAATTTATTTATTCGTTTTCTTTTCATTTATTACCTCAAGGTTGCTTAAAGGATCAGATTTCTTGCGGTTTCCGTCTAGGGGTGTAGGATTCAAGTCTTACGAGGTTTCGTTCAAGTTCCTACCTATTCCATAAAGGGGAATTGGGGGAATTTAATTAATTATGCGTATTCTGGTTGATTATTTAAGTCGTTTATTCTGTATAAAACACACATATGAAGACAGCGCCATTATGGTGGTTAAATAGACATAACATCATAACATTTAATATATATGTATTCTCCCTTCTATCCTTGAAGGAAATCGCAATAAATGCGCATGCAAATACTTTTCTTCGCCGCATGCATTCTTATTTAATTCATGTTTCTTCTTTTGCCTGTTCACAACTTCTTTTGCACATAGAAGGCATTTAAAACCATTCCTTGGGGGGCGAATGCAAGCAGACGGTGCAGCAAAATCCCGTCTGTTTCTTCATTATTTAATCATATTTTTCTTTTATAATTTGCATGCGTGCATTTTATCAATTAAGGATATTTTAAGGGATACTTATGTGCATGCAGTGTATGTGTGTATATATGCATGATGGAGGGGATTGGTTACCTCGAAAGAGAGCCAATTTTGTGTTTTTTTTTCAGATATAAAGGAGAATAATATAACATTTTCTCCTTTGAATGTATCTTTATAAAGTTTAATTAAAAGATAATTGGTTTTTTTGCTTTTTTTTGCTGCAGGAGCGAATACGACCGTGGGGTCAACACCTTCTCCCCCGAAGGTCGTCTTTTTCAGGTACGTTTCTACGTATATATAAAATGTAATTCTTTTTATTTTATTTTTGTTTATATTTTATTTTTTTATTTGTTCATTTAAGCATAAAAACAGCAGCTTATTTTCTGCATACACTGCATGCACAGCACTGCACTGTATAACAATAATATATTCAACTTTTTGTCAATTGTTTGTTTCTTACCTGCACTATTGTAGATAAGCAGCAGCAGTAATGCCCTTCCTATTCCATGCAAGAAGTGTATATTATATATATACAGATTATATTAATATAATATACTGTATTATATAAAATAAGATATACTATATAAATAAGAATATATATATTTCTTTATGCATGGGAATACGCAGGTGGAATATGCATTAGGCGCAATTAAATTAGGGAGTACAGCCATAGGAATACAAACAAAAGAAGGAGTTGTACTTGCATCAGAAAGAAGAATTACTTCTTGTCTTCTAGAGCCACAATCTATTCAAAAAATTGCAGAGATTGATACGCATATTGCATGCGCTATGAGTGGTCTTATTGCTGATGCAAGGTACGCCTCTTTTTTTTCCTTCTTTTTTGTCTACTTTGCATCTTATTCCATTTTATTTGTCTTTTGTATTACTAACTTCGTGTTTATTACGTTGTTTACTCTTTTTTGCGCATGCATACTTGCATGGTTATATTGTACCCACACCCATGCGTGCATGCATGCATACATGCATGTATTTATATCTTTTAATACCTTTTTCTTTTCCTTTTTTTTCTTTTTTTTTCTTTACAGGACCTTAATAGACCATGCAAGAGTTGAATGTGCGAATCATTTCTTTACATTTAATGAGAAGATGTCTGTTAGAAGTTGTGTTGATTCTGTTGCTGATCTTGCCCTTGATTTCTCAGGTAATTCCTTACTTATGCATGCATGCATGCATGCATGCATATTATTTTATTATAATACTTTTTATTCGTTAAAAATAAATAATTTAGCCCTTTTATGCTATTAAGATGTTAATAAGTTTATTATGTTATTAATACTATAATAATAAATAACCTCACTATGCTATTAATACCATAATAATAAATAAGACATAAATAAGACTAGTATATTATATAAACAATAATATTCTTCTTGTGTACTAAAATGTTCATGCTGCAGTGCATGCATCTGGGCTGTATGGTGCTGCTGTTTACATTGCTGCTGCTATTGCTGCTGTTGGTGCTGCTGCTGCTGCAGACGTGGGCTCGGGTAGAAGAAAGAAGACAATGAGTCGTCCTTTTGGTGTTGCGCTGCTCATTGCTGGTGTAGATAAGGAAGGACCTGCCCTCTATTGTGCTGACCCCTCGGGTAGGGTTTAGGGTTTAGGGTTTAAGGCAGTAGCTACCCTCTGCTGTAAAAAAGATGAACGACGCAGTGTTGTTTTTTGCATGCGGTGCTATAATGCAGCAGCAGCAGCTGCTGCTGCTGCTTTGTTGCATCGGTTGTGTCATCTAGAGGTCAATGTGCATGCAATTGCATGCACCTGGATTCATGTATGCATGCATGCATGCAATATATATTAATGTGTGCATGCATGCATGCATATACAGGTACAGTAACAAAGTATATGGCAGTAGCAATTGGATCTGCACAAGAAGGCGCAGAGTCAATGCTACACGAACAATACAGCGAAACCATGTCCCTAGAAGGTAAGACTTGCATGCATGCAGCCCTGCATGCATATGCATATGCATATGCATGTTCATGCATGTAGTTGCATGCAGTGGCATCCATGCGCATGCAACTTGATTGCCCAGCGCATGCACGTACAGGCGTTGGTAGGGATGGTGTGAGATGCATCGGCAAGCATAGCCTATATCATGCTGTTGCTGCTGCCGTTGCTGCTGCTGCTGCTGCTGCGCTGCAGCTGCTGAGGACTTGGCGTTGGTTGTGCTGCGGCAAGTAATGGAGGAAAAGTTAAACGCCAATAATGTAGAAATGGCAGCCTTCAGGGTTGGAGAGACACAGTGCGTCTGCTGCTGCTGCTGCTGCTGCTGCTGGTGCTATTGCTGCTGCTGCTGCTGCGATGAATGTACAGTAGTTTGCTGTTGTTGAGTTGCATTGGGGTGTATGTTTGTCTTTTTTTTTTTTTTTTTTTTTTTTTTTCTTTTTTTTTTTTTTT